TCTATCTATATATCTATCTATCTATCTATCTATCTATCTATCTATCTATCTATCTATCTATCTATCTATCTATCTATCTATCTATCTATCTATCTATCTATCTATCTATCTAGGACATTTCTGGGACTACTGCTGCGATAAAAATGGGGTCTTATAATAAAATGTTTTCTAAATAAATAAAATAAAAGAACATAGAATGTCCAGATGTACGCTTCACTTTTCTATTTTATTAAAGGGATGGGGGAAGAACTCCCCCACCCTGTTTAAAAAGAAAACTGCTGCTTCTGGAATGTCCAGAAGGAGAAAAATGAATGTTACTGCCATTTTTTTTAAAAAAAGGACATTTAATCGCTGCTTCTGGAATGTCCAGAAGGAAAAAAATGAATATGTTACTGCCATTTTTTTTTTTAAAAAAAGGACATTTAATCTGGATGTATGGATGGACTCTGTGAAGTCCTCAAAGGTGCGTGCCACTGGGGCTGCATGCTTTGCCCACAGCTGACAAAATGTATGGGCATTCCCTTGTTCATGCTTAGGTATTGGAAAAAAAAATTGTTACAATGTTGAATTCAGAGCACTACTCTGCTCTTGAATCTAATAGGCAAACCCATCAGCTTAGAATAAAGAAAGGTGTTGATTTTTAAATTAATTTGATTTGACTTGATTCCCCCAATGTATCTTACTTAAGAAGGTGACAGGTTTGATTTAGTTTAGTGCAATTCAATCAGCATCATAATTAAACTTAGATGGAGCAAAATTACATTAAACCAGTTTAAGCATGTTTCCATTACTTTCTTAATCCAAGTAGACTAATTCAGATAGTAACCCTCTGTGTCACTATCCACTCGTAACTGCATTAATTCAATGTCCTGTTAAGGTACCTCACTGCCATATTATTTCTTTTCTTAAAAAAAAAAAGAAATTACAATCTTCATCTTGTCCCACGAATCATTAAACCCTGCTCCAAATATGAGCATTACTGGCACAAAACTGATATTTTCCATTTTTTATCAAGGCACCAATCAACAAGAATGTTCCAAAGGAAAGGTGACTGAAGCTGCCAAAATTCTAACCGGTGTTAATAGGTAGAAACCTATCCCTGATTAGAACAGCAGCAAGTGGCTCAAATGCAACATTTCCAAGAGAGAGGCTGACCCCACATTGTCAGCTGAGGAAGCAACTAAGAGCCTCGATAAAAATGCCATAGATAGGATGGCTGGTTTTAGATTCTTCTGCACAAGCTCTGTGTAAGTCTGGCTTATAGCCAGAGGCTTGGGCAACAAAACTGGCCCTCCATCTAGAAAACATTTTGCTGTCTATCAATTGGATTATAATAAATTCCACAGTGAAACGGAGGCCTGTGAGTTCCAGATGTCTTCCTTCAGGAAGGCAGAAATACTGACAGCCTTGCGACAGTTGTCCAGAGCAATTTCGTTCACCCATCCTTCTCTGTCTGGGGGGGGCAAGCCCTGGGTGTGCTGGCCCACATGTGTTCAGGTCCTGGTGAGCTGTATCCCATAGATGTCAATGTCGCAAGGCCTCTCACGGTTTAGACAAGTGGCTTCGGTAGAGTTTTCTGCATCACGCACATTGTATTCTCCCTTCTTACAGGCTGTGGACTTGAGATAGTAAATAACCCCAGCCATTCCTCCCAGAACCAACATGGTGGCACCAGCGATTGCTATGACGACAATAATATATAGCCAGTGATCTGCAAGGGGGAGGAAAAGCAGAGGATTGTTAGGAAAAAGAATTCTTAACATCAGAATGGGGAAAGTCTTCAGAAAGTCTTATTAGATCCTAGGCCTGCTCCCCAGGTACCAAAGGAGCCCTGACTCCCCCCCTCCCACTGCCGCACACCTCCAAAAAGCATTTGGCCTCAAATTTCACTCTCCTCTGGGGGCACAGTTGGCCATTTCATGCTAATTTGTAAGGGGTGTGATGCTTACTAAGGCCTGTAGAGGACCTGGTTTGAAACCTGTTGACCTCCCAGTCATTTGTAGCATGGAAAATAAGGCTGGGGCTCGGGAGGGGGGGCAGATTGTATCTTGGATACTGTCCATGGACCTCTGGAAATTGCCAACCCCAGGCAGCAGTGCAACACTTAAGAGTCATGGAGGTGCAGCTGCTCTACAGGGCAGTTCCCATTTGCAGCCATATTCGATACAGCAATTCTTCCCACCCACCACCTGAAGGTATAATACCATTTTAATAAAAGAATGTAATAAAACCCTGACTTAACCAGATGAAGGGTCCTTGAAGCCCAGTATCCTCTTTCCAATGAAGGTCAACCAGAAGCTCACAAACTGGTCAACAGGAAGAGGATTTTCTTCTGTTGTTTGCCCCCCCCCCAGCAAACAGCCTCTGAGCTTTCTTTGTGGTCATCATTCCTATCATGTCTTTCAACTCTTATTTTGCCTCCCATTGCATTTCACACATATATAACATCATGATGGTGAGAAAATATTTGAAAATAATAAAGCAGTGTTTTTGAATACATGTTCTTGCCTCTCTTGAAGCTAGTCATGATCTACCTTTCCCCATGTGGGTGAAAACAAAAGAAAACATCAAAAATGTGGTGGCACCTTAAAGACTAACTTCTAAATTTTTTTAATGTGAGCTTTTGTGGACAAGTCCACTTCAACAGACACGTCATGATAAAGTGGACTTGTCCAAGAAAACTCACATTAATAAATATAAAAGTGAGTCTTTAAGGTGCCGCTATGTTTTTGCCTTTTTAAAAAACTTTCGCTTTTTATTTTGTTTCCACCAATAATGCTTGCACAGACTAACACAGCTATCCCTTCTACAGCTTTCCTCATACATATATCAACTGTCCCTTTATCATTTCTTCTCCTACAAAAGATCCAGCACCGGCTTCAGAACAGGGCAGGATCAAATTTGCAATAATAATAGAGATGTCATCGGCCTATTCTATCAGAATAATTTTATGCAGAATGTGTAAGTCACGTTTACTTGGGACCAAACTAAAAGTTACATGGTGGACAAATATAAAGGGTACTACCAGACAGGGCCTTTTCTCTGTAATTGCCCCAAACCTCATTTCTCTATGGGGAGCTTGAAAAAGTTACATATTAAAACAACGGTTCCTGAGTTCCCTCAGGCAGCACATCAGCTTCCATTTGTAAGCTTCCTTTATATGCCTATTGCTTCTTCCATTTTACTTCTTTCAATAAAACATCCATTAAGAAAGGAATGAGTCAATGTATTTGGTTTGGTAGAGTTGGAAGTCCCATATTTGAAAGCACACGTGGTCTCTTCTTTTATAGAACTGTAAACAGCCCCTTTCAGCAACCTCTACCCCCCCTTTTTTCATTTCAAGATGCAATTGCAGGGGTTTCTGCATATCATGTTTTCTACTTTGTGGCCTTACCTTCCACATGGATATCCACCTGACTCTGTTGTTTCCCATGTTTATTGCTGGCTGTGCACTCATATACACCACTGTTGTGTCCATCTGCACCCACAATGGCCACTGTGCTGTTGTTGCCAAGGTAGTTGAGGTTGGAGGCCAGAGGCACCCTCCAGCTGAAGCTGGCTGCTGGGGACCCATCTGCATGACAGGTGATGGAGAAGTTTTCTCCCCTTCTGATGGGTAAAGACGCACTGACCTCCAGAATGGAAATAACAGGCCTGTCTGAAAACAAAAGCAGAAAAGGAGGAAGCTGCATTTCATTCTGCAAACCTAAGGAGAAGCCTCTTCTTTACTCTCTATTGCTACAGATATTTGACTTCTGCTAGCTAGTAATGAATTCAAGAATTAACAGGTATCCAGGATATATGTGGACTCTGACATACTCTAAATCTAAAACACTTCCCCAGTCTGTCTGGAAAGCTGTCAGTGGAAACTGCCCCTCTAAATCTAAAACACTTCCCCAGTCAGTCTGGAAAGCTGTCAGTGGAAACTGCCCTAGGTTTAATCTACCTATGACTATATGGAAGTCACCCCAAGCCTATTCCCCATTAGAACTACAGAACAGAGGAAGAGGACAACAATACTTGCTTTGTGATCTCAGGAGCTCTTGCCCCAATCTTCTCCTGTTCCTCACACCAGTTTGCATGGGTTCAAGCCCCAGGATCTACTGACATGTCACTAATGCAAAATGCTGCCCAGCAACAGGCTTAAAACCACACTAGTCTCATATCTGAGGGCCTCCATCCTTTGGGGGATAGTTTAACAATGGCATTAGCTAAAAAAAGAGGAGAGCCACAGAAAGGGACACAGAAAAGAGTTGTTCTCTTTTGCTAGTAGGGAAACCATAAGGCTTAGCTAAAAAAAGGAGAGCCACAGAAAAGAGTTGTTCTCTTTTGCTAGTAGGGAAACCATAAGGGGTCACCAGGTTCAATTTTTTGTAGCATGACTATGCCCCATAACACATACACAGTTTACAAATAGTGAAAGGATGGAGTGTGTGTTTCAGGGAGAATCATAGAATCACAGAATAATGGAGTTGGTTGGCCTATAAGGCCATAGAGTCCAACCACCTCTCAGTGCAGGAATCCAAATCAAAGCAGATCTGACAGATGGTCGTCCAATTTTCTTTTGAGTGCCTCCAGCGCTGGAGTGCTCACCACCTCTCAAGGTAATTGGTTCCACTGTCGTACTGCTCTAACAGTTAGGAAGTTTTTCCTAATATTCAGCTGAAATCTGGCTTCCTCTAACTTGAGCCTATTATTGTGTACTCTGGGATGATTGAGAACAGATGTTGCCCATCCTCTGTATGACTACCTTTCAAGTATTTGAAAAGTGCTATCATATCTCCCCTCAATTTTCTTTTCTTAAAACTAAACATGCCCAGTTCTTTCAGTCTTTCCTCATGGGGGCTTATAAGAAGTCCACTTACCGATAGGCTACTTAATGCCTAGGCTTGCTTTTCTTCACCTCCCCCTCATTCACTAACCACCAGCCCAGTAGTTGTCAGTGGGATTGAGAATGGTTTACAGAGACAATTAGGGATGAATAGAGACACAGTCTTCTCTCAATCACAAAAGTAAAATCAACATTCTGAGGAAGGGCAACATTGAAAATGAGGACTCACATTCTACTTGCACATTCACCATCCATTTCTTGGTCCCATGGCTGTTGGTGGCTTTGCACTCGTAGATGCCAGAGTCATTCCTGCTGACATTCTGTCCCCCATAAAACTCCTCAGTGGTTCCCTCTTTGGCACATGAGACCACTGGGGTGGGAATTCCATTTGCTTTGCAGGTCAGCAACTGCAAAGTCCCTTCCAGCCAAATCTGGTTGCTTGGGCAGGTGGACTCATCTATTTTAGGTTTGGCTGAAACACATGGATAGAACAAAACTCAGTCGGCCTAACTAGGAAGATGTTCCACAAGATTTTAATGTATTTGTTGCATTTATATTTCATCTGATCTCAAAAGAATTCAGGACAGCATACTGTATATGGTTCTTCACCTCTCTACTTTATCTTCACAACATCATGATGGGTTCAAGGACATGCAGCCAAGTGAGGATTCCAGGTCTACTTCAAGTTCTACTTCAACCATTTAACTATCCCACTATACTGGCTTGCATGTTTGGGTGGTGGTGACTACAAATAATTACCAAATACTATCATAGCAGGCTGGTATATTCATCAAGCAATGTATCATTCACTGAGGTCAGAAACTGTGGTCCTCCAAAGGCTTCTCATCTACAGCTTCCATCAGCTCTAGGCAGAATAATGAACTGTGAGGGATTACCAGAGTTTTAATTAAAAAGCATCTAGGTGGCCACAGTTGTCCATTTCTGCTCTACAGGTAACATCCTTGGCATCATGGCACAGATTATATGTGCTGGCTTACAATAAATTTCAGTTGGCCAAAGCTGTATAATCTTCTCCTTGTATTATTAATTTCACTTCAACATTTAATGAAAAATTATGAAAACATTGTAGATACAAGAGTTTATTTTGGCAAGGAGTTGCCACGAGCCCTCCTTGGTTCTGAGGTCAAATCTGAAGTGATTTCCAGAGAGCTAACGATGTCAATCTGTCTCAGCCTGTTGGCAAAAGAAAACACAGGAACAACAAAATATTGGGAAAAACACAAAATAATAAAGATTAACAATTTTATTTGTGTGAGCTTTCATGGGTGAAAGTCCATTTCTTCAGACACTGGAGAGCAAATATATGACCACTATATTAATACATGCCCCCATGGCCAGGTGAGGATATAGATCATGTGAAAATGGACTGTTAACATAGGAATGGGACTATCAAAATGTAATGGGCTGAATTAGCAGGTTCTGGCCAGGGCAATAGCTGTTGGCCAGGTGGGTTGGCTGTCATTGAATTGCTAAGAGAGTTTTTTTCTGGGACAGTAGTTATAGCCTGTGAAAGAAGGCAACTGTTTTATAATAA